TCGCGCGATAAGTTGTTCTATCGCGCGATAAGTTGTTCTATCGCGCGATACATTGTTCTATCGCGCGATATGTTGTTCTATCGCGCGATACTCTGTTCTGTCGCGCGATAAGTTGTTCTATCGCGCGATAAGTTGTTCTATCGCGAGATACAGTGTTCTATCGCGCGATAAGTTGTTCTATCGCGCGATAAAGAGTTCTATCGCGCGATAATGTTGATTGAAAATTTTTTGAATGAATGGACTTAGGAAAACTTATCACGCGATAAAGTCATGAAAATTTTTGTAGGTGGATGGCCCTTGAGAGCCACCGTAGTATTCCTTTCTCTGTTATCTAAACGTTAAATATTCCCGGGAGACAATCAAAAATAACTTTCATCGCTTTTTTCTTTCATAAAGTAAGATTATTCTTTAAATTGATGGTTTGCTTTTAAACAGAAACGTCGAGACTTACACCATTGACGAACATGTAAGTAAGAAATTGCAATGTAAATAAGCTTGGCTCACACTGATATCAATCGAAAATTATCCGCTGAGAATCACTCAAAAGTCAAACAGTTTGACAAAGAAGATATTCTTGCCAGATTTAAAAGTGCACACAGCACTACAACTTGTGTAGCCGTTTTGGTTTTTCTATCTTCCAGCACAACAAACATCTTACGAGAATATATTCATCCAACTTACTTTGTAGGATTATGATACTGTATGTTAGGTTTTATAACGTACTTTTGGGTTCAACATCACAACGGCAGTGCCTTTTTTTAAGGCGAATCCAGTGGTTTGTTTAACTCCACAATCTGCATTTACTGCAACAAAAACTTTAAATTTTTTGACTGTGTATCGCTTGTAAATACGTTCGAGATTGTGAAGGTGAAAATAATACAATGCACTTTTAAAATAAGGAAAAAATATCTTGACGTTTCGAGGCTTCAGTCGCTTTATCATCCGCAGATGATAGCATTTAATTAACTAGTCTGTATTTTTATAGAAAGGAACAATTTAGAAAAAGGTTATACAATTTTATTATATTGGTTTCGTGGCCTTTTTTTGTGTAAATTAAAACAGCCGAACTTGTTATTAAACCATGAAAAGTTTCCCTGTATTCTGCAGGCTATTATTTTTTCTTAAGTCGAAAGGTGACCTTGTGATAAGTATGTTTTGTCAGCTGTTTTGTACTGGCAGTTCAATCTACTTTGTTTATGTTTAAGGTCGACTACTCCAATGTACTGGACGAAAGATCACGATTTACTTTTAGTAAGAGAAGTGCTAAGA